TACTGTATAAGTAGTATTGTGTAATTAACTTGAACCATTGTGTATTTAACTCAAATTTTGCTACAGTAGGCTCCGTTCTTAACTATGGGTCATCTTTAAACCGGCATTCTTAATCTGGGGACTACCTCTACAAATGTAATAAATACCTGGAAAATATACTAATTGCTGTATTAAACTGAATCACCTGGCCAGCTAAATCAATCATTCCAACAGATGATAGCATCCTGTCTAGTTGAGAAGTGGAGTAGGGTCTGCTTAGCACTTGGATGGAAGACTGTCAGGAATCTCAAGATATAAACCAGACTAGGAAAAAAATCCTAGAAGGCAATGGCAAAACCATTTCCATACTGTAGCTGAAAAAACACTTAGAATGTACCCACATTGTCACCAGGAATAAAATTCAACTCAAGGACATGATTACATTACTAGCTTCCAATTCTTTGTGAGATTTTTCTCAATTCTGATCACCGTCAAATGAAGGTACTGGTAGTCCTTGACTTATGACAATTTGTTTAACAACCGTTCGAAGTTACGACAGTGCTGAAAAAAGTGGCTCATAACTGGTCCTCACACTTACAACCATTGCAGCATCCCCACAGTCACGTGATCAAAATTTGGGCACCTGGCAACCGGCATGTATTTACAATGGTTGCAGCATCCTGGGGTCACATGATCAACATTTGCGATCTTCCCAAGGGGCTTCCAACAAGCAAAGTCAATGGGTAAAGCCAGATTCGCATAATGACCATAGCAGTCGTAAAATTAGGTACAAAAGATACCTTACAATGATTTTCCTCCTGTTTAGCTGCAAAGTATGTAGTAAAATATAGTTGAGATAGTAGTTTCTGACATGGATATGTTTTGTGGTTTTGCACATTTACTGATGTGATTTTGTGTGTTAGTGCTTTTTGAGAGAGAATGAGAAATGAATTGAGGAACATAATATAGATCCTGGCTTGGCAAAAGAAAAGAAAAGAAAGTTACTACATTATAGATTAGCTACTTTATCCTTCCTATGTATATGAGCTTGCAAATTGTCTCTTTTATTTTTCATAGCAATACCAATAGTGCAATTATATGGACATACAGTACTCAGAAGTAAATTCATTGAGTTTAGTGGACCTGGTTTCTTGGTATTTTCAGTATATTTATCTTAGCATCATTTACGTAGTGGATCTGCTTCCTATCCATTGTCTTCCTACCCAAACCTGAATGGGAAAAAGCACCATTGGACAGATGTGGGACCTACCTCTGAGCACACATGCTTAGGAATGGAGCTGCACCTGCTCTTAATATGCTGCAGTCTACCAACACACTTGGGTTATATTAAGGCCGCTGCTGCAAATAAAGTGCTAAATAATTCACATGCCTTGGGCAAAGGAGAGGAGCAGTAGAACTAGAAGGAAGGTCAGGCAGACACTGTAACATTTGTACTCTAAGAGCAAACAAGATATATTGTAATTTCTAGGGTTCCCAATACTGAGAAGCCCATGGAGTTGCTTATGGAACTCTCCCAGTGTGCTAAAGTTTCATGGCTCCCAACATTTCCAACAGCTGGATATAGTAACTGATTTGTTCAGTGGCTTTTCTTTGAAAAGGTGATCTGTATGAAAGTAAGAAACAGAATGGGGTTCCATATAATGCATATGTCCTAAGGAACACAGATTTATTTATTTATTTATTTATTTATTTGACTTCTAGATCACTCAGAAGCAGTCATTCTCAGCCATTTTCATGGTGTTGCAGAAATCAAGTAAGAGCCAAATATGAATGTGCATGTAAGAGAAAAACAGAATTTTTTAAAAGTATTTTTTCTGCTTTGAGAAATAACCCTTGAAATAATATCCAGTTATGACACGTAAACAGGAAAACTGAATCACAAAACAATGTGTTTATGGAAAAAGCTTCCTTATGTTTGGTTCCAAAAATAGTGCTTTCTGTGACAGGAACATGAGAACTGTGGGAGAACTCATTTTTCTGCACTGTTAACAGATTTTTCTCTCGCTGCTGTGCTGAGCTGATGACATAACATCCTATTACCCTGGACCGGCGGTAACTTGGGATGGAAGGTGCTGTAATACTGTACTTTGGAGCTAGTAATTTCTCACTCATCACTGAAGGAGACAATCTCATGTTTTAGATATGCTCATAAACACAAGTGTAGCATTTTCAGTTAATCATTGCAATATGGCTCATGTCTTTCCGGTTCCAGCAATGGAAAATCCTGAAGTCCCTGTAAGCAGCTGCAGTACTCACGATGAGGAAAACCTATACAGTTTTAAGCATCACCTACCAATGTGCCAAGAGTTGCTTCTGGAAGATCAGCTGAGAAGGAAACTTAAATTTTTCTTTATGAATCCCTGTGAAAAATTCTGGGCCCGAGGGAGAAAACCGTGGAAGCTTGGCATACAAATCCTAAAAATAGCCATGGTTACTATCCAGGTGAGGTAGAGAGTTGTAGTACAGTTATTTTTTTTAACTCACCCGTCTTTGGTTACCACAACATAAATCCAAGAAGTTATAACCACTTAAGCGGCAACCCCTGATTTACCGTTGCTTTGAGAAATGTGTTTTTGGAACCTGTTATATGCAACCTGAAAATTTCAGACCTTGAAACTTAATAAGTATGGAAGTGGCCTCAGTGTTCTCATATCCTGAATATTTTGGAGGAAAATATTTTTTGTCAGGTATTCAGGACTGACAAGTTTAACAGTATTACAGGCATCCTCACCATATGCTCTCCATCTGTGTTGTACAAGAACTTTCAAGAGTGCCAGCCACTAAAGCCATATTGTTTGGGAATTATAGGATTTTTTGTTCAAACATCTAAGGGGTGCTGAATGGGGGTAATGGACAGAATAAGCTATTAGTCAAGTGGAGACAGTGAACAATATCAAGTTTAAAACTGCAGTTTAATTTAATTTAATTTAATTTAATTTAATTTAATTTAATTTAATTTAATTATTATATGTGGCAGTCCTCAACCATCTACTAAATGCTCATTACTCAACAACTATCAGGAAATTGTCTCTCTGTGTGTGCAGAATACAATATGAAAATGTCCAATGTGAACTATAGTAATATCATCCAATGTTTTTATTCAGCAAACCACATCAAAGACGAAAAAAGAATAATACTGTTGTAATATTGAAGTGGGCTAAATTATAAATGTAACAAGAATATAATTATATAAATAGAGAAGGTTTAGACCACTGAATGAAAATAGAAATTGTAAAATAGGAGGGATACTACCCAGCTCTCCTTTTCTACATGCTCAGTTCCTGATTTATTTACAAGATATATTTCCTACCCCTAGAGTGAAAGGAATTCACCAAGTGAGGGAGCAGAGAATGACTGAAGGGGTAGAACTAGCTAAGAATACTCCACCAGCTATTAAAAGTTAGTGCACTTGTGGTCAGAATGGACTTATTGAATATTTCAGCTGCAAGATTCCCTTTCTGTTGATACTGATAGTAAGTTTATACTATATGTAAGTTCCACATTTAATAACCTGGGCTGTAATTTCAAAGCATGAACAACTATTTATGGAGAAAAGTTTACATTATAAACTAACATTTAACTTTTTTTGGGGGGGGGATATTTTCAGCTTGTAGTTTTTGGGTTAAGCAATCAAATGGTGGTTGCATTTAAAGAAGAAAACACAGTATCCTTTAAGCATCTATTCCTGAAAGGTTATACAGACAGCATGGATGACACCTACGCAGTGTACACACAAACTGATGTCTATGACCAGATCTCCTTTGCAATAAACCAGGTAATTCCTTTTATATAAAAAGTATCCTTATATTGTTTAACAATAAAATTGTACACTAAATTTAAACCAAGCTCGAAAAAAAACCAGGTCAATATATTCAATATTAAGTGAACAGATATGAATAGAAGAAAAATCGGATTGGTTTCAAGTATAGCTTGCATTTGCTCCAAAGAGTCAAGAGATGCAGATGGCTCCCTTTAATTTCATGATAACCTCGTGAGATAGAGGTAGCACAGTCAATTGGCCCATAAAAAGTTTTCTATAATTGAACCAAGTTCACCAACTGAGTTTTATTTGAATCTTAGTCTTTGTAATTCCATCTACGAGGGACACAAATCTGAAAAGGAGAATGTTCCACCACAGACATCCTCACTTCTCCTGTCTCTCTAATTAGCTCAGTTCTAATTATCAGGTAGATCCATTAACTGGTTGTTCCTTTTTGCTCAGTTTTTACAGCTGCGTACCATTTCTGTTGGAAATCATGCTTATGAAAAGAGAGGAACGGAAGAGACACCCATGGCAATATGTCAGTACTTCTACAAGAGAGGAATTATCAGCCCTGGAAATGACACTTTCGATATTGACCCAGAAATTGAAACTGGTGATATACTTGACTACTCAAATCAGATAGATTGTTTCTGTGTATGTATGTGTGAGAGAGAGAGGAGAGAGAGAGAAAAAAAAATGGAGAAGTTGAGGAGAGTCATAGGGTTTAAAAGCAAATACATGGTAATTTCCAGTAGACATTATAAGGTACTGTCACTTCAGATATTTTATTAGGCACACTGTAAAAGGGACGCTGTAAAAGGGAGATCTTTCCTTTGTACTAGAAGCAACTTAGGTACTTCAGATAGTCCTCACTTACCACTGCCTTGTTCACTGACAGTTCAAAGTTAGACAGTGGTGAAAAAGTAGGTTTACAACCAGTCCTAAAACTTGCGGCTGCCGCAGTGTCTCCATGGTCACGTGATTGCAATTCGGGTACTTCGCAGCCGGCATTTATTTATAACAGTTGCAGCATCCCACAGTCATGGGATCACTAATTTCTGATCTTCACAGCTGGCTTCTGACTAGCAAAGTCAATGGGGAAGATGGCAGAAAGTCGCAAGTCACAGTGACATGACATCTTGCTGAACAACCTGCAGTGATTTGCTTAATGACTGCAGTGGAACTGACATAAGTCTGGCGTGGTCATGTGACATTTCACTTTATAATTGCATCGCTTAGCGATGGAGTTACTGGTCCCAATTGCAGTTGGTAAGTGAGGACTATCTGTACATCAGAATCCTGTTAAAGTCATTATGAAAACAGGAGTGGTGATGTGAGTGCTTTACTTAATCCCTGCCCCCATGTCACTCAAATGATGTCAGCTTCAGGCAGGCCTAATGTTCCATACAATGATCTGCAGAAAGGAAGTCTGCACACGTACATGGTTTAGTTTACAGGTGACCTGATACTCTGCTGATAAAAATTGCTGACTCGTATGCAAGTCAATGTGTATGGCTCTATTGTAATTGTATCTGAAGCAGGGTCTTCATAATTATTGGACAGAGCGAAGGGTGCATCTACTTGCAACATACTATAGTATAATCAAATCTGGAACAGATTGCCCCCCCTCTTTCAGAAAGGGGCATGTACAAAAGTATCCTGACAACTCAACAATGCAGACAATTCATGTAATCTCAGTACCAATTGGTGATTCATGTTCAGGGTGACTTTTACCTTTAGGCAGAGTGAGATGGTATGTGGGACAGACCTTGGGAGACTGGCAGAGAGACACCACCAAGGAAACAGCCGGATTAGAGACAGCATAGCCTGCAGCTAGATAGTGGGTGGGCAAGAGGCTCAGAAGGGACCCTCCCTAGGTTCTTGGGCTGTAAAGGAGACAGGGAGAATTACATTTTCATACTTGCATGATTCTATCAATGTAGCTTTACAATAAAGTAGAATTAGCTCATCTGGTTGTGATTCCTATCTGGTTTACCTTGCAAGGCTGACAGGTTGAAAGCGTTAGTAACCTATTGGATGATGGAAATGTTTGCTGCATTTCTGCTCTCCTACCCTGTTGCCCTCAGGTATGGAAGAAAATGATGTCTTATGACGCACTTACCAATCCAGTTAGCTTGTGTACTTGGACTGGGCAGGGCACCATTCTGACATTTGCTTCAAGCAAATGCTGAAATATATTGGCTGACTCTCCCCTGTATTGCAGGCTGGACCTTGGAAACTTTATGAATAAACTTGAGTGGTCAGAGTACAGTCTTAACTTTTCTACATTAATATTGGCTACTGAAGATGTAGAAGTATTGCTGGAGGCTGTTATGTGATAGTTCAGCAGCACTGTGACCTCCTTTTGGAGTTTGGAAACAGTGACATAAATAACGATCTCTGTTATTAGTGAACATATGTGCACAACATTTCTGAACAAAGCCAGAGGCTGAATTCTGTGAGGATGTATTAGCTCAAATGTATTGTGAGTGTTTGAACGATATTAAAGGACTGTCGAAAGCTTGAGAATTTTTTCTTGATATACATATGTATGCAGTTACATGAACCAATATGTAACATACAAAAGTAATTACATCATAATTATAAGGACTTTTTAAATTAGTGTTTCTTCATTCTGTTTGGAGTGGAAATGGCTTATAACTGCATTGAAGTGCCATTCTACAGACAAGTAGCAGAAGAGCCTGTAACCATAGAAAAAATATTGTAATTCTACACTTATTTGATATTATGGTACTGATCTGTGGGTCAAATATAAAATTTCCTTTTTGAATTTATTTTTAAGTAGCAGATATTGCCAGGGATTCTTTATCAAATAAGAATCCACACAAGATAGAAGTTCAGTAAATGTATACACTAAATCAAGAAAAAAAATATAGTTGCTTTTTTCTTGCAGGTTAGGAACAAAAATTTTACATCTCATATTATTTAGATAAGACTACTAATGACCAGATTTGGTTCATTTCCTTATTACTGATCTGCCTTCTTTAGCTTATGAGATGTTGAATATTTTCCATATAAACCATATATCTTCCCCCAGAGTGTCTTTATGTGGAACCAATGCTACCTTTGGAAAATGGGACACTGAGGAAGACCCCTTTCAATTTCACTTTAGACTTCCATAGGTGAGGAGGAATATCAGTTGGTAGTATCCTAGTATGTTTTGGGTAATGGTGAAATAAAGCTCCAGTCTCTGTTCTAGACTTGTGACTCTGACACTCACATTCAAATTGAAGGCCATTAATCTCCAGACGGTTCGACAACATGAACTCCCAGATTGCTATGATTTCACTCTAACCGTGAGTAGAAATGTGGAGTCCTACTGAAATACACCCTCAGTAATTTACCTTTTATGCTTTTAGTAAGTCTCAAAACATATATCTGTAGAGTATTAGCTTTTTGAATTGAGTTAACAATAATATTAATACTTTTGTTTATGCATTTAACCATATTTTAATTGTACATTTTAAAATTTGTTTCTGTTTCTTTTTTGTTGATGGTGGCTGGTGATTATCTTGCATACTCTTCAGAAAGAAAAGTGCAATAGAAAGTGCAATAAAATAGTTATAAGAATAGTAGTATTTCTCAAAAAATATTAGAAACATGGAGAAATTGGGCTATGTTCTCTCATAGCTCTATGTTTTGTTCCAAGGTTATTCAACTATCGTCTTCCTTCATTTTATTTCTCCATGTTACTTATTTTTAAACTGCTTAGATTTGGGGAAGAATGGTACAGAGACAAAACTTGATCACTATATGGGCAAAAAAACTAAGCCCTCTCTGTTTTCCACAGGAAATGCTTCTTACACGCCACCACTGTTTCAAAGTTACACTTCAAGCTAACTATAAGTCTTTATGGCTCCTTTAGGGAGAAGTGTGGCAAATAAATAAATAAATAAATAAATAATCACATTTTTGCTTTCATTACACAAGGATTTGGAACAAACTAAGATTTTTCAGTCTTTGTTTTTATTTGCTAGAAGAATAGTTCTCAAATTCAGCCTATGTGAATTTGTGAGGGATAGAAATATTTAGAAGAAATAATAATAATAATAATAATAATAATAATAATAATAATAATAATAATAGCAGCATTTTTCTACCTCCATAATATTTACAGATAGTCTTTGACAACAAAGCACATAGTGGAAGAATTAAAATAAGTCTAGACAATGATATTGCCATCAAGGAATGTAAAGACTGGCATGTTTCTGGCTCAAGTAAGTAAAAAAAATATATATATCATACTTTCATTGTTACTTATTTAGAGCCAAAACATTAGGCTTAGTGATTTTACTGAAGGTCTAATGATGTATGAGGTTAAATATGGTATTTGCCTATAATGTGCAGTTACTGTGTTTTTTTAAAAAGTGTGTCAACTGAAAATTAACAAAATCTGAGTGAGTGAGTGAGTGTGTGTGTGTGTGTATTAGTTACATCATTTCATCCTATCCTGTAGTCCTAAAAAAGTCCCT